TCCCTCGTGGACGTGGAACGTTGGTCGGGCAATTAGCTAATTCCCAACGAGACGAAAGGAACAGCAATGGAATAGCGCGAGGACAACCTTGCCGAGTAACGTCGTTTAACTTGAAACTCTTTAATTAACCCAGATCTCGAGCCACATTTTGGATCTTTTCTGCGGCCAACCGCGATAGGAAAAATTCAATCGAGCCAATTCAATTGCTCTGTCTTCACTTTCTTTTCGAAAAAAAAAAAAAAAAAAAAAAAATAATTGCCTGATGTTTCCCTTCCCGTTTGTAATGCATTGGAAAATTTCATTCGGAAAGAACTAATTTCTATAGAGAAAAATGTAAAAATTAAAATGAAATATCATTCTCGATTTAAATGTCTTTTTCGAAAAAAGAAAGATTATCTAACAGTCTTTGACTTAAGTCGTTTATATATACGAAAGTACGATCGAAATTGCTTTGGATAGCTCTTTTTCTCTGGGAAAAAAAATAACGTTTAACAGATATTTGATTCTCGGCATTTTGTCACACTCGAACGTCATGGCACACTACTCTCGATTTACGAGGATTACAGGACGCTTATTGCTCTGACGCGCAATCCCGCGAAAGGGGTGTAAACGAATGGGTACACCGGTTGTGTCGTTTCACCATTATCCCCCTCTCTCTAACATTGCAATTCTAACGTAAAAAATGCACCGATGCTAACCGTTCTACGAACAGTTCGTTTCAAATATGCTCTCGTTGGGATCATCGAAAAAAAAATTGAGAAACATATGCATGCATTGTCCCGAATATCTCTATGCGAATGAAGTTTATCGATGCTGTTCAATTTGCAATTTTTTCGCGAAATTCGTTACTGTACTTTGATAAAATTTATTGAGCAACTACGTCGATTCAATACATGATTGTAGAAAATTTTCATAATAATAAAGATAAATTTTACATAAGTTTAATATTATTTTTATAATTATTTGGTATTATTTATTTTTACTTAATAGAGATATAAAAGAAATTCTAAATGTATACTTTCTATTCTAAAAAAGATAATATATAATATTCGTTTTTAAAACAGACATAAATTTATAAAACATAATTTATAAACATAAATTTATAAATTCTTTCTATTCATTTAAAAGGAAATTTTTGTCTGTTTTCTGTCTTACCGTCTTTTTCAAGCGAGATATCGGGGACATGTTGAGACCAGCGATGATAGCCATTAGAGAATTGAAATTGCCAATGTTGAAGCATTCTCGAGCAGTTTCGATCCAATATTCAACGACACGAACGCGTTGCTTCTTCTTTGCGTGCTAGAAAAAAAAAAAACGGAGAGACCTTTTATCTCGCAGATTTACTATTTTTTTCGAAATCGAAAAATTTGAAAAATATTCTTTTATCTATTACCAAAGAATCTTGATTAGATAAGAATTATAATAGGTTCCAAAGAATATTAATATGTGTTACAGCGATTATATTTACCTTGCAGACCTCTGTTGCTACGAAATAGCTCAATCTATTAAACCATTGAACATATGATTCAAGATTCCGGGTTTTCTTCATATCTTTAAAAGACGTTTCTAAATGCGGCGATTCCTGATAGAATAATCAGAATAATCAGACGATCAATATGTATACCGTGATAATTATTAAATGTTATAAAAGTATTTGTGAAATAATTCAAATATAAAGTAATTTTAATTTTTTTTAAAAACAAACTCACTTTGGCAAAAGCCTGCACAAATTCCTCTGGTCCGATATAAGAGAGCCTTTCAAGTTCCACATGAGTCAATTGTTGGGCTAGCACAGTAGCTGATGGGCAAAGTTCGGTGATATCCACCTAAACAATAAAATGATAATTTATACTGATATGTTTAGAATAGTGTTTCCAGATAATATATCGCAAAGATGCATATTAATAGTTGGTATTTTTATATTAAAATCATTTAAATTTAATGATTTTCTATAATGTTCTATTAACTATATATAAATTTTTGTAAGTTATATAAAGTCATATTGTTAAGTCATATTGTTTTCAAAATTAAGCTCATTGTTTTTAAATCTTGCCTATAAAAATAGCCTAAAAAAATAGTAAAATTATAAAAAATAACAATAAGAACAAATTATATTTACATAAAAAAAGGAAAACTCATCGATGATACTTAAGATAAACATTTATCTCAATTGTCATGTTATTGACTTTTATATTTTTCCATCTATTTTGACAGGATTTCGATCTCTCAGAGTTTCAATTTCTTTCGTTCGCTCTTGTTCACTTTATTTTATTTGATTTCTTGATACGATACTCTATTGTAATATTTCAAATAATATTTCAAAAGTTAATGCCAGAGACAAGAAGAAAGGAGGAAAGAAAGATAAAGCTTGCATGGATTTTTTGGGATGTACTCTTTAAATCCTTGAATTCTCGATTTATAAGTATACGTAGGACATGTGGACGTATGCATCTTTTGACGAGTTTTTGAGTGTTATAAGAAATGAGGTAATAGAGATACATATACACGTTATACGTTTTTTAGTTTTATTTTAAAAATAAAACTTTGAATCAGAGAATAAAATAAATTAAAAGTTAAAAGAAAAAGAGAGAATGCAATCGTGATCTCGAGGTGTCTTTGCTAGTTTTAGATACGGAATTCACTTAAAAGTTGTTCGATAGAAAGAAAATAAATATCAAAAACTCATTATTGGTCTCGTAAGTTATGTCTCATTTTTGAGCAGAAAGAGATGGTTTTTTTCTGAGAAAAGATGTAACATATAACGAACAATTCTTGGAAATACGATGAACATATAATACAATTTTTTATACTTAGAATTATTTCATCATACTGACAAATACAATAATGTAATTATAATTTGAAATCTGCAAATACGAAAAATGATATACACCTTTTCTGGTTTTCAAAATTAAAAATAATAATATTTGTATAAATATGGCAAATATTGTATTATTAATTTATAGAAATTAAAATTTTCTAAAGAAAGAATATAAATTCGATAGAAGTATCAGACAGGATAAATAATAGGAGATGAAGAAAGACGTGAGAGAAGAGAAGAGAAGAGAAGAGAGGGAGGCGGGGAGGAGAGAGAGAGAGAGAGAGAAATATGATATTAAGGATTAGTATTATTGGTCTCAAGCGTTATAACTCGTTTCTATGTGAAGTTGCTGTCGTCATGGCACGTACAAAACTAGTTGAAAAACGCGGCGAAGCGAACTTTGCGGTTTAATAAGCCGGAACGAGAGCTCGAACGCCGCTTCTTCCGTCCCGTCTCTCTCTCCTTCTTCTTCCTGCCTCTTACACAAGCTCTCTTACACAAGCTCTCTTTCTTTTCCAGCTTGTCTTGAAGCTCGAGATAAATAATCTTCGCGTAAACTACGAGTCACATACGTTAAAGAAAACGAAAAGAAGCAACCGCGACCGCATAGTCACCGTGGCTTTTGTTCATGTACATAGCTTGTGACGTAGCAACAAAGAGACTGTAATAGATATTAGAAATCGTGATCAAACGATAAACCGCAGGCAGGCTGTGTTTTGATCGCAAGATCATATATCATAATTTGCTCTTTTATATGCGAATGAAATTAGAAAAAAAAAAAAAAACGAGGATTATGTCAAGCATCTAAGTATACAAGTAGTCCTAAAGGAGAAGAGGAGAGAGGAGAATATAAATTGTTATCGCATATTTATTGCCTCTTTTAAATAAATCATGTGTATATATATCGATATATTGAGCGTTTCCACAAAACAAAAGCTGTATTTTCATGTCCGGGAAAGTATATAAGTATTAAAAGTATTTTATCTTTTATAACAATTTTGCGAATTTAACATTTTTTGTTGAATCAGTAAATATCTTTTTAATACCATTTTTCTTGGAACGAATTCGCTAGAAATTCTATCTCGCAAATTTTAATGGAAATTTTCGTTTTTAACCTATGAATACCTAACTTTCTTATTTATCCCGCACATAAATAAGCACGACGGTAAGCACGTATTTATAGCAAAATTATCGTGTGTGTGTAAGTTGAACATGGATTTCTCCATGCAGCGTTCAAACGCAAGCAGCACTTTCATATTGATTAGCCGCACATGACATCGTCCGGTATATTTAATAAACTAATGTAGTTCTAAATTATCTATTAGCGAGTGTTAGAAGCGGCAGATAGGTGTGCGATAATCAAATTAACGAAATGGTTAACGTCTCCCGGCATGGAAACTGCACTAACCCTGTTAGACTAACCGCGCAAAGTGCACGCGCATATGGACGCCCCAAGTTTGTGCGTTTCGATCGGGGTGTGTGTGTGTGTGTGTGTGTGTGTGTGTACGCGATATATGCGTGTGGATATGCGAAGAACGGAAACACCGACATTCCCGTGTAATCTAGCAGTCCTGATACAGCGCGATCCATGTGTGGAGCGGTCGGAAGTGAGAGAGAATGCATAAGAGGCGGGGCATTATCCCCCCGAAGGGAGAATATTATCGCTTCATTATGCTGAAAGTCCTCGAAGGGTCGATGCGATCGGTAAACCGAATAATCGGGCTTTGCACATGGCGAGCCGGTTATGGTGAATATAAATCCACGATTGAAATTACGAAACAATACTCGGATCTACTCGGGTCAGTGCACGATTGACCGTGTACTCTAATATTTTCTCTTTTATTGACTAATAATATAATTAAATT